CATCTGTGTGTTTCTACTTCCTGCTCTCTACAGATGAACATCTGTGTTCTCTGAGTGATGATGGTGTGATGTTTCACCTCCTGCATGAGCTGAACTCTCTGCCTCTCCTGCTGATCCCTCAGCCTCTCCCTCCTCTCCCTCTCCTGGAAACCCTCACTGAACGGGTTGTTATCGTCAAACTTCACCTGCAGGTCGTGGAGACAGAAATCAGCTCTCTGTGCTGAGGAGCTTCACGCTTTGTGCAGTTATAACCTTTGTGGTAACTCCATTAACATTAGATATTAAAAAGAAAAATCTTTTACAAAGTAAAAGTCAGGACAGGAACACAAAAAAGAAACCTGTTCTGTTGTTTCTCTGATCTCAGTTCTGAATTAAATATCAGAAAGCTGTTTGAAGGCACATTACTTCTTCAATGTTCTACCTTTGAGAACGTGGAGCTGAGCCGATTGGTCGATTGATCCAGTCGATTGATCCAGATGATCCCTTTTTTTAAATTGGTAAAATAAATCTTTTTGACTTTATTTCTCAATGTCTTCTGAAATTTTATAGAGGTTGTAAATTAGCATCAGATAATTGGATAATGAAAATGGTTAATTACAGGCGTGTGATCTGGTGAAATTTTGTTGTTTCTCACTGAAACTCAACGTGAACAAACGTGTTGAATGAATTTCTTTCCTCGTTAAACCTTCGTAGAGCTCCAGGTGAGTTACCTGAGGGGGGTCCCCTGCTGCTCCATTGGTTCCTCCGGTGGGGCCCCCAGTGAAGACTGCTGGGGGGGTCTGGGTGTGTGTGGGAGGCTGGGGGGCTTTAGGCAGGACGGGGGGGATCTGGAGTGGCATCCTCTGATCCATCAACCCGGGGGCCCCGCCAGCTGGGGTCCAACCAGGGGGGACGTTTGGGCCACGGGCCACTGTGGGGCCGCCAAGGTGGGTCTGCATGGGCACCATGGGCTGGGAGAAGGGGGTCTGGGGGATGGGGGGAGCTCCTGTAGCTCTCTGCTGCTGCTGCTTGGTCCTGTAGTCCTCAATCAGCTCGGCATGATCCTTCTGCTGCTTCCGGATCTGAACACAGACATCACAGAGATATTTGTTCATAAACTAACCAGGTAGCTCTTCTTCCTCCGACGATGAACACCATGAACACTGGAGCTCATTCTGACTCAACCACACATTCAAATACGCACTGGAGCACCGAAGGTGGATTAACCTGCTGCTGAAAATAGTCCCCAACAAACACCATTTAATTTGATAGAAACTACAGTGACCAGCTGTTTCAGTATTGATTAGTGTGTTAAAGACAGAAGCTGCACAGTTGGTAGTCTGTGAGCATCATGTGAGGGACCGTAGGTACAGAGGCCTTCAGGAAGCATGTAGAACTATGTGAGAGCTGTGGGACTTTACTGGTGTTGGTACAGACCAGTACATGTCCTGTATGTGCTGGTGTACCTGCTCCAGCTGCTTCTGGACTGCCCCCTGCTGCTCCGTGATGTTGCAGAGCTGGGCAGCGTCCTCCTCGGCGACGGCTCGGCCGGCCTTCTTGGCTGTTCTCTGTTTGGCCGACAGAGATTTCTTATTCTTGCGAAAACCTGCAATCTGGTCCTCCAGGAGGCGCTGCTGCATCTGCAGTAGCTGCTGCGTCTCCACCAACCACTCCTCATACTGACGCCGCTGTGACTCGTCTGCAGGACACAGGACGGACTTTACACACCGAGAAAGGACTTTACAGGGACGCAGGAGACGTCTTTAGAGATTAATAACAATTGTGAAAAAAACACAAGAGTTGACCAGTTCCTTTTTTCTGTTTTTGGTTCTTTGTTTTTGGTGTTTATTTAACATCTGAATCAAGGGCCACGTTGTTGGGATTATGTTCTCATACTCACTGACGAAGCCCGAGCCGAAGCTGGGAGGGTTCGGTCGCACCAATGGGGCTTTCAACTTCCCGTCCTGACAGGAAGAGAAGACACAAACTCAGGAAACACATCGCGACGGGCAGAAAGAGATCCTATTCATTAGTGTTTCAATCAAACATCATGTTGTCATGGTTCTACACACCTGAACCACCAGCTGTGGAGGCTGAGTCCCCTCTGAACCCGGAGCCACTGGGGCCACCGGGGCCACCGGGACTACTGGAGCCTGCTGGAACCTGACACACACACACACACACACACATAATGAAGAGTAATAAATGCTTTTTTAACATGAACAAAAAAAGAACCAGTCATCGGCTTTATCAGCTGTCAGCAGTGACACCTCGCACAAGAGGTCAGAGGTCGTCCTACCTGTTGATGACCATGGGGCTGAGTCCCAGGTTGCCCTGGGTCATGACCTTGTTGATGCCCTTCAGAGCCACCATCTTGGCCTTCATGATGGGGTCGGAGACGGAGTCAAAGTCTGCTGAACACAAACACACATCAAATGACCTTTCAAATTAAAAGCATAGCACCTTACAAAACAACAATGGCAAAAGATGAAACGGCATTAAGGTAAACAGGAGCACTTTAAAAAAAAAGGTCCGTCAGGTTCAGGTCTATCCGGGTTCAGGTCTTACCCATAGTGGGTAACACAGGGTCTGTGGTGGACCTCTGTCTGATTAGGGCTTGCATCTGTTTCTGCTGCTGCTGCTCCTGGCGCTCCTGGTCCAGGAGGTCCTGCAGGAGGAGTGGCTGCTCCTCCAGGAGCAGAAGCCTGTGCTGGTCCTGGTCCAGGTTCTGGGGGAGGACAGCCTGGATCTGGGAGGAGGTCCCCTGGTGTGAAAGCTGGGTCTGAGGGTTGAGAAGGAGGCGAGGCTGGGAGGGTTGGAGGGACAGCGGGTGAGGCGAGGCATGAGGACCCTGAGTAGTCAGACTGGTGTGGGCAGAAACTGGGAGACCCTGAAGGTGGGGGGTGAAGAGAGCTGAGGGAGGGGGTCCAAACGGTCTCTGCTGCTGCTGGAAGACAGACTGTTGACCTGCAGATGAATAAACACAGATCAATAATCTGTCAATACAATCTGTTAACTCAAAATACAGATCAATAATCTATCAATAATATGAAATACGGTTCATATTCATTACCTCCAGCCATGGGGGGATGAACCCTGGGAGTCATGCCCGATGACAGAGCCTGTTCTTGGGTCTGGAGACAAACAGAACCTGGACCTGATGGCTGGCTGGAGCCTGCTGCCTCAGACCCTGGAGCTCCTTGAGGTCTGCTGGTGGTGACCACCCCAGCATGAGGTGTAGGTTGCTGGGTAGCAGAGGGGCCGTCCTGTACTTCCTGTTTGACGTGGCCGATCAGGTGGCCGTCGGTCTGTGTGGACCCACCGGCGCCATCCCTCCTTTCCTCCACCGGCTCCCCCAGCTCCAACTCCTCGTTGAACATATCCTTCTTGTCTTCCAGATTGAGCTCGGGGTCGGCGTAGGCGATCAGGTCAAACTTCCCCGACAGCAGGAAGTCGTCGAGGTGGAGGTCATTCGGACCCAGATCCAGGTCTTCTTTACCTGAAACAGCCAGCACAAAGTTCGTCATTATGATTTATGTCATGATTCATCTACTCCGTCCTGGATCTGAGGACCCAGATTTGACTCCTGTGCTCTTACCGTCTTCAGGGTCCAGGTTCAGGTTGAGGTCCACCAGATCTTTCACCTCCACGTCTTCCAGGTCCTTCACGGCAGAGTCCTCCCCCTCCAGGTGCTCCTCCGGGAGCGTGGACTCTCCGCTCTGAGTATGCGCTGCTGCGTGGACCAGGTGCTGGTGGTTCAGCTGTTCCATCACCATCGCCGGGCCCAGCGCCATCTCACCCATCCTGGCCCCCGGACCGGGTCTGACCGGAGACGGCTGAGGGTCTCTGGGGGGCAGCAGCGGGACCTCGGGCAGAGAGAAGGACATCCTCAGGCGGTTCTCGGGGGCGTGATGACGGAGCTCGATGTAGGGCTGTCCCATGATACTGTGCTGCTGGAGGGGGAGGGAGCGGGGGAGGAAGGGCTGGGGGACACCTGGGGGGTAGGAAGGGGGCCATCAGTGACTTTACAAAGAACTGAATCAATAAATGAGCCTCTACATCCATCAGAGAGAAGATGACATCATCAGGTTCACTAGAGACTCCAGCAGAGACCAGTCCACTGTGGACTTTAGTCTACAGGGACCAGTAGTCCTCATTATACAGGATGATCTGAACAATAGCTTTACCTTAAGACTACAATATATATATATAAATATATTTATATGTATATATATTGTCGAACATATAGTTGTGGTCCCTGATGTTCTCCATGCAGCAGTTTTGTAATGGAGCGGTTCATAAACTCACCAGATATCATGTGTGGCTGAGCACCGGGAGCCGGGACAGGTCGGATGCCGGTGAACTCCACAGGTATCGGCCTCTTCATCTGGAAAGTGACTCCCTCCACCATACTGAGCCCAGATCCATGCACCGCTCCCTGGGGAGGCCGTAAGAAGGAGTCCTGGAGACCCGCTGGAGGAACACCCAACCTGAAGGACCAAGAAAAAGACGAGTGAACCAGAACACATCATCAGATTAGGTCAGGACGAGGCTTTGAGGCTCTTCTCACCTCAGGACTGGTCCTCGGACTGGCAGCTCTTTTGGGGTGAACCCCCTCTGCTGCACCCCAGGGAAACCTCCAGGGAACCTGGGGGCCAAAGCCCCCGCTGCCCCACCAGGCCTCACTGTGCCGGGGTATGGGGGTGGGGGACGTCCAAACAGGTCTATTGGAGGAGCAGTGGAGGGGTCTGGCTGGGACCAGTGTTGTGGTGTGGCAGAACCAGGGACGGGTCCAGCAGCATGGGGTCCAGAGGGTCCAGAAGCTGCTTCCTGCAGACCTTTCTCCTGCCGTAACGCACTCTTCTGCTGCTGCTGCCTCAGGATGAGCTGCCGTAGACGCTGACGCTGCACAGAAACAGATAGAACAGTAGAACTCAGCAGAGCAGAGAAACCAGAACCAACAAGCCCAGAAATGAACCTTTTCAAGAGGTGAGACAACACATCAAAAAAGTCAGCTCTGATTAAAGAAACCAGAACATGAAAAATGACATGGTCACCTGTCCCACCTGTCTCAGCTTCTCCTCCGAATCACCAAGCTGAGGCAGCATGCTCATTGGTCCATCTAAAGGAGCCACAGCCATCGCTGCCATCTTATTGGTTGTTGTCTTGTCCATCTGTGAGGGGTCTGCTGTCATGTGACTCTGCTCAAAGGGGTCGTGACTGGGAGTCTGACCCGCCAAGAAGACGCTCTCCTCTGACATCCCAGGGTGCTTCAGGGTCTGGTTGCTGGGGGTTGTGGGAAATAAGTCCTGCTGTTGTTGTTGCTGTTGTCTTCCTGGAGACTGCTGCAACTGAAGAGAGAAGAACAAAATCAAACAACATACGCTGCAGTAGACACGTACGCTGCAGTACTACAGACACGTACGCTGCAGTACAGACACGTATGCTGCAGTATGCTACAGTATGCTGCAGTACAGACATGTATGCTGCAGTATGCAGCAGTACAGACACGCAAGCTGCAGTACCACAGACATGTACGCTGCGGTACAGGCGCGTACGCTGCGGTACAGGGGCGTACGCTGCAGTACAGACACTTAAGCTGCAGTACTACAGACACTTAAGCTGCAGTACTACAGACACGTAAACTGCAGTACAGACACGTAAGCTGCAGTACCACAGACACGTAAGCTGCAGTACCACAGACACGTAAGCTGCAGTACCACAGACACGTAAGCTGCAGTACCACAGGCACGTAAGCTGCAGTACCACAGGCACGTAAGCTGCAGTACCACAGGCACGTAAGCTGCAGTACTACAGGCACGTAAGCTGCAGTACTACAGGCACATAAGCTGCAGTACTACAGGCACATAAGCTGCAGTACTACAGGCACATAAGCTGCAGTACTACAGGCACATAAGCTGCAGTACAGACACGTACGCTGTAGGACAAATAAAAAGACATGTGGACACTCTGTTACCTGGTGTGTTGGGGTGAAGGTCACCGTCTCTCCAGACAGCCCTGAAACCAAAGGGGATGAACCGGATCCTGCAAGTTGAGGAGTGAAGATCTCCATTGGGGCCTGGCTGAAGGGCTCTGGGGCCTTCTGAGGCCGCGGTGTGGAGGGCTGCTGGGCGTAGGGGTCCATTATGGGTCGTGGTGTGGAGGGCTGCTGGGCGTAGGGGTCCAACATGGGTCGTGGTGTGGAGGGCTGCTGGGCGTAGGGGTCCAACATGGGTCGCGGCGTGGAGGGCTGCTGGGCGTAGGGGTCCAACATGGGTCGTGGCATGGAGGGCTGCTGGGCGTAGGGGTCCATCATGGGTCGTGGCGTGGAGGGCTGCTGGGCCTGGGGGTCTGTGTTCCGCTGACTCCCCGGCGATCGAGGGAAGTGCTCGGTGACAGTGGGGCGGGGAGTCCCCGGGTTGGAGGCGTAAGGGTCGAGGTTTGGGTGGGAGGGGGACGGACGTCTGCTGGTAGACTGCTGGTTATACTGGTCCAGTCTCAGTGCAGGCGGTGTGGTGAGGTATGTGGGGTCAGAATGAGGGTGTGGTGTACATGGAGTCTGAGGGTTGGTGTAGGGGTCAGGCGAGGGTCGGGAGGTCAAAGGTGAGTGCTGGGTGAAGGGGTCAGACATCTGCTGGCTGTAGTCAGGTCTGGGGGTACCAGGTGTCTGGGCATAGGGGCTGCGGTGGGGAGAGCCCAGTCCAGATAGCGGACTGGAGGGGAAGGGAGGGTCCTGCGACTGGGAGAGAGCACAGCCCAGGTCTGTGGGTCTGGACAGGTCCCTCCTTCCTGCTCCTCCTGTGGTACCAAACACCTCCAGTTGAGGCTGGTGCTGAGGAGGCATGGGGGCTTTAAACAACCCGCCATGCACCAGTTCACCACCGCGACCGTACAGTTCAGACACCGCTGCACGGATGTTACTGCTGTTGTGAGGAGTCCGCAGGTATGTCTCAGCTGCTCGGATACCAATGTGTCGGGCTGAAGGGTCGGAGGCCGAGCCAGAGGGAGGACTCATCATACCGGCCCTGTTCTGCTGCAGTCCTGGGAGGAGAAAACAAGGAGGAGACGGTCACTGGGAGGAGAAAACAGGGAGGAGACGGTCACTGGGAGGAGAAAACAAGATGGAGCCGGTCACTGGGAGGAGAAAACAAGGAGGAGACGGCCAGTGGGAGGAAAAAACAAGGAGGAGACGGTCAGTGGGAGGAAAAAACAAGGAGGAGACGGTCAGTGGGAGGAGAAAACAAGGAGGAAACAGTCGATGGAAGGAGAAAACGAGGAGGTGCCAACTGGGAGGAGAGTTACCTTGTTGGGGTCCGAGGGTCCTGGAGACGTCGGAGGTTTTGGAGTCGGGGGACGGTGCAGGAGAACCAAAGGCATCGTGGGCTGGGGAGGAGCTGAGGGAGTTGTGATGCTGGGGGACACCAGCCTGTGAGGAGGGGGGGCGAGTAGGCCCTGCTACTTTAATGTTGGGTTCCCAGGGTGAGGAGGAACGGGAGGAGGGCGGGGAGAACATCTGAGGGGAGGAGGGGGGCTGATGGAGGGGAGAGGAGGGGAGGGGGGAGTGAGGGAGTGAGGAGAAGCCAGAAGGGGGAGGGGCTTGTGGTTTGAGGAAGACGTTGTCAGCTGGTCCCGAGCTCTGCTGAAGGAGGTGCTGTCTGGAGGCGTCGCCCCCGATGACGGGTGCCACGGGGCTTCGGCTGCCGGCGTCTGGAGAAAGACGTCCGGCGAGCTGCAGCTGCCTCTGCTGGAGGAGCTGCTCGTTCTTCACCTGCTCCAGCTTCTGACTGGCCTCCATCTTCGCCAGCTGCTTGTTCTTATGACGCATTTGCTAAAAGAGGGAAAATGAAACGCAGAGAGGAAGACGGACGGAAACACAGAGCGACACGAGTCAGCGTCTCTACGTCTCTACAGTTCAAACATGATGACATGGCAGCTAGTAATGCTCGCTTTCCCTCTCTCTCTGTTAATGACAATCAGTGATGAAGTCATTTAATGTACTGGAGGATCAAACATGTGACTGAGAATCATTCAGACTGTGTGTGATGTGTTGGGGGGGGGGGGG